GGGGGGGGGGGGAGGTCAGGGGTGGCTTCTCTAATTACGACGCTGTCGTTAGGACACCGAGTGCTTAATGGCACTCTAGGATAAAGTGGGCTTGAAACGCGAAGCCATTTGCCGGCGATGCTGCCTGATTTTAAAGGTAATTAAACCTAGCCTGGGAAAAACAGATGGGCCGAGAACCAGCCGATAATTCCTCGTTATCATACCGCTATCCCGGACGCCGTGGAGAGTCTCTCGTTGAGGAAGGAGGAGGAAAAAGTCGATGGGACATTTATCGACGGTACTTGTACCCCCGATATTCTGTGTCCTCGGCGGTGTTCGAGCTCGATTAGCGCGTATCGTGCACGCTGTTTATAAACCGCGCTGCAGAGAACGGCCGGGATTACCGGCGCGTATATACGGATGTGCAGTCCGGCACGGATTAGCACTAACGAAACCACCGGGTCGCGGCGATTATTACGACACGGTCGTTCGTTGCGGAAGTCGCGCGGGGGAGAACGGCGGAAAACGAACGGTGGTATCAACTTCTCATGGAGCTCCCGTGGAGCTCGTGAACTCTCGGGCAGCGATATATCGAGCGAACGACAAAAACGTCGCGCGGGGGAGAAAGTGGAAAATCGCGCGTAGGACGAAGAAGGTTCTCTTATCTCCGCATTCGACTCTCTCTCGTCGTCCCGTCAAAATTATTTATATCCCCAAGTAGGAAATAACTACTGGCGAGGTATTAGCTCGGTAGCGATTTTTTGTGAACGTCACAAGAGAAGGAAAGGTGATATTGTGACCTTGATGGCTCCTCTTAATATCTCCAGTGTTAGGTGGCAAATTCTAGCGATTATTTGTGGAATTGTTTGTCCAGCAGCTCGCCGCAGAGTCGTTGTATTTTTCTTGCAAATAACGTCCTAAGTGATAAATATTTCATAACTTTGAGTCTAGAAGCAATTGAACGACACTTTGACGAATATAATCATTAAGTTTTCAACTTAAAATATTGATTGTTAACAAAGTTATTGCACAAAATATAAGGGGAGAGGCCGTAATACCACCTTTCTTCCAATACCGATTTGGTACCGACGCTGAAATCATAATAATAGGTCACGACTCGGAAAACAATACTGTAACTACACCGATTCCCAGTATTGCAAAGGTACCGGAAATTGTCGATCCCCAGTAATAATTATTATTATTGTACAATTGTTAATACTGCAATACTGTGGAAGAAAGGGTCAGGACTATGACTGGGTGCTTTGTTTGTACTTGCAGATGTCCAATTTAAATGTCATATGAGGCGAAAAACATCGGAGCGAGGCGAATTCGGCTGGGACACAAACCCGAGTCTTCCGTTCGCCAGGCGATCGCTCCACAGCGGTTTGAAAGGGTAAATTTTTTGGCTAAAACTCTGAATCTTGATCAAAATGATTCTTTGTATACAAAAGATGTTCTTTAAAAGGAAGAAAAATAACTATGTGTATGCAATTCAAGATTTATCTCTTTTTTTAGATAAATATAAATATAAGTCGAGTCGAACATTGAGCGTTATTAGCGATGCGTAGAAAGAAAAGAAGAAAAGGAAGAAAGGCGCGAGAGAACTATGTCGCTACGTGAACTATGAAAATTAGTCATCCAATTCGCTGCCGGCGCCTCCGAAAGATTATCTCGCGGCCATCAGCGTAAAGAGGTTCCAAAAGTCTCGCTTACACTTCTGATCGTCCGCCCCGCATCTCATTTGCAAGGTAACAAGGCGGACGTTCGCAGTATCACGAGGAAGCGATGCAAAGCGAATTAGGGGGGTGGTGGGGAGACAAGAGGAAGGAAAAACGAAGGAACGAGGACGAAGGAAGAGAAAGGAAAGGAGAGAGAACAGGAGGAAGGGAAAGAAGAGAGCGCGAAGTGTGCAACAAGCGTCGAATACGATTAAAGCGCGGGGAGCGCGGGGTTAATTAACAATAAAATCTGTGTGTTCGTTGGCAAAACGACGGCGACAACCGAGGCGCGTCAAAGAACACCATCTCACCGTTTGCATCGGAAAGGAGTAGCTTCGCTCTGCGGCGCGCCGCCCGCTGCTGTATCGCGAATTAAATCGCCGGTCGTTAATTAAGCGCAATTTCCCAAGGTTTAAGAGCGCGAATCGGAAGCGCGACTAATTCAGCTTCTCTGCAGTCGCGTTTGACGATGAGTCGCAACCGTACGTTCTACGAAATCATGGAGAAGCGCGCGTTATGTAAAGATCTCGCCGACGAATAAGCGGACGAATATCGATCCTTCTATCAACCATGTCTTTGATATTTACTAACTTATTGTTTGCGCTTTTTCGGCTTTTATTGAGATGGCAAAAATATATATATACACATATAACATCTATATTTTACAAAATAACGACAGAGCTCAGGAAAAAGAGTGACTATAGTGATCTATTTCGACGATGATGAATTTTTAGTGACTTGTCAAGAAAAGGTGAAAAGTGGCTGAAATTTCTGGACGGTAGCGTTTGTATAAGAGATAAATTTGAGAAATCTATGTTGATATATCGTCTGTAAAATAAACAATTTAACACATAAGAGAAGACAGTGTGTCGGTTCTACGGGGAAAGAAATGAAAAAATTTCGCACGTTTTCGAAAAAAATATTCTATGCTTGAACGTGCGATATAATTCCAGATTCGACAACTGGGATCTGAATTTTTCGCTCGAACCAGAAAAGACCCGCGAGCGCCCCTCTAACTGGGGTTAAATCGGAAGTGACATTTCGCGTGCGAAAATAGCGGGGTGCCTTTGTAATCGTCACTCGACCCGCCGTCGCCCGACTCGTTTTCATCTTCGGTCGGTCATTACCCCATCGCATTGACACGGTGACTGCGTGATCGGGGTATTTCCACAATAGCTATTCAAACACGCTCTGACGAATCCGGGCGCTGTTTGTCGCGTGGTTTTCGCGTCGCGCTGTTTCATTAGCGAGCGAGCGAGGGGCCGATCGATCGGGACGGATTAATATGGGAAAGAACGCGGAGTCGATAGAGACGATTACGTGGCGGCGGAACCCGCCTTCATTCAGGCGAGTTTTACGACGGCAACGGCGCTTTTTCCTGATTACTCGAGAGGAGGCGCGGCCCTGTTCCTAGGGTGTGGTTCCTCGCTTTTAACCCCTCGCCATCTGTCTCGATGCCTCGTCGGACGTCGGACGTTTTGTACTTTCAGAGTTGCTTCTTACGACGTTGCTGCCGCTATCGTGCTTGTGTATGCGCGCGCGCGCTTCTCGCGCGAAATTTTGCGCACAACGTAACCTCCCCGTTTTTATCTCGCTTTTATACGAGCCGTCTCATCCGCGCGTCTGATGTGTCTACGCGCGCGTCTTTCGCGAAAATTCCGCCGTCACTTTTTCCGCCAGGTCGGAGAACGAATCCTTCTTCCCTTCTGCATATATCCGTACAATACGGGCGAAGGTAAATTGACGAGCGACGTCGCGTCCGAGAGAGAGAGATGCCCTCTCTCGTCCTCGCACGGCCGAAAATATCATTTATTAACGCAAGTTTGCTCGCTTGCGAGATATATATATATATATATATATAAAATCTAGGCTATACAATGGTATAGCCTAGATTTTATATCGCGTTACAACGATAATTTGCAATACCTCCAACGTGCGCTTTCAATATTTTATTTTCTACGGTATCTGCGTATGTGTATATGCGTGTGTGTAATATCTATGTGCGCATGGGCAGTGCGCGTATATACGCGAGACGACAGAACTACCAAGATTCTACTTCTCACGCGAGGCGTTCTGCGGCTTCTAATGCGTCTAAAGCGAGATGAGAATTTTCAACAAATCCGAAGTTTTGTTACGGCAACGTGGTATAACGCGCTTCAACACATATCGGTATAAACCGCAACCGAGTTTTCAGTCCGACGCGTTAGGTAAGCAAAATAAAAGGAAACAAGAGAAAGAAAGAAGNGGGGGGGGGGGGGAGGAAGAGAGACGGAAAGAAGGAAAAAAAAAGAGGGAAAGGAAAAGGGGTCAAAATTTACGCGCAGACCGCGTGGAATACTCCGGAAAGAAGTTTCCGAGATGTAAGAACGTTTCTTCAATTTCCGTACTACATTCTCTCATTAAAGTTTCCGGGAAGTTTCCGAAAGATACAACGGCGTTTAATGCTGGGGGGTTCCACCCTGGCGCTGTTAAACTTTTCGCGAGTGGATTTCGCCGAACGGAAACAATTTTATTTCATTGCAGCCGAACATGGGCTATTAATGAGCAACGGAGTCATATTTACCGTTGTTATTACCACGATACAGGCACGACCGGGTAAGTTTTATACGGCGAGGGCGGGGAAAAAAAAAAAGGAAGAAGAGAAAGGAGGAAAGAAACGACTGTAACGACCGGTGCTGCGCCCCGTTAAGACCGAGCTTCTCCGCGCGAAAGAAAAGGTTTATTTAGTCGATGGCGGGCGAGCGGCAACGAATTACCGCTATCGCGATCAATTGGATACGATTCCTCATTCCGCCGTTACATAAAACTCCAGACCGGAAGTGTCTCGGGGGAGGCGAACGCGAGGAGTGGGAAGAGAAGTGGAGGAGAGAGAGAGAGAGAGAGAGAGAGAAAAGGGAGAAGAAGGAGGAAGAGGAGGATGTCGCCGTAGAATCTCGAGAATTCGAATAAACTCGCGCTCTCGGGTATCGCTCCCGATGATACGTTCCCGCCTCCCGCTGCGGAATATCGATTCCATCCCCATTGAATCCGCGCGTACACGGGTAAATAATATCCCGAGGGGAGGGGGAGAGAAGGGGGGAGTCTGGCCTTGATGGAAATAAAATGAAGTGCCCTCACCTTCGAGCGTCCCTCCACCCTCTTCTCCTGATTCAGCTGGATCCAGGCGTCCCATCGATGTCTGTAGACACTCAGGGTGTTCCACTCATTCAGCCTCACCGTCTCCGTGCTCCTCACCGTGCCCACACCGCTGCCGCAATCGAACCTACCCGCCGGGCGGAAAGTACGAGGGGGCAATGTTAATCGATCGGCGGAATACTGCACGTCGTGAAATGTCAACCGTCGCCGTGGCCGAGCGCCGGTTCGCCACGGGGGCGGGGAGACGGCTCATATCAACGTTCTGGTGGGCGATACATTATTGAGCGTCGTGAAATTTATTTGTCGACAGGACACACAGCGCGCCGGAGGGGGGAGGGCGGTAAAATTCCTGGTAGGAACGGTTCGCGCGTCGAGGGAGGAAGTCGTGAGGCGAACGGGGATCCAGGTTGAAACGCACGTTACAGCCCGGGGGTATCGAATTCGATCCGCGCTTCGATCGCTTTTCACCGCGAATTTCTGTCCACCGCGAATTACTTTTTACCGCGTGAAACTACCGCGCGAACTTATTTCTTTTCCTCTTCCCCTTCATCTCCCGTCCTTCTCTCTTTCTCCAGTGTCGCGTATACGGACGGATGTTAGCGGATATAAAAGAATAGCGGCGGGCTCGGTCGCGCTCAGTGCGTTCGATAATGTGTCTACGCTCTCTCTCTCTCTCTCTCTTCGTCCCGACTCGCCGCGTCCTTCGCTGGTTGGCGGCGCAATCAATATGGAAATCATCGCCGGCGTCGATAATTTATTCGCCATCATCGCGAAAGTAATCCGCTAATATTTAAACGCACCGGTAATGGTGTCCAGTTAATAGAACAACAAATCCACACGGCTAATCATTTAGCGTTCGATTAATGAATTGTGGAAACGAATCCGGAGGGAGAACAATGGTCGGCCATCGCACGGCGCCAATGAATAAATTACACGGTGCGTTTGATGAATGTGTCTATGAATTCGGTAGAGACGCGCGCGCGACCTCCTTTGTCCCACAATCTCGATGCTAAATCCGAATAGAAGCCATTGTGGAACTTCGTCCTTGGGGATGCGAGTTAATTCCCCCCCCCCCCCTCGTCGCGACTCGTTTTTTAATCAGCTAAATGCCGGCGATGATTACGGAGACGTTTTTATTCGCGTGCAACGCGACTACTAACACTTTGCGGCTCGCGCTTCGTTGTCGAGGTTGTCGCGCTCTCTGACTCGAGCAAATCGAGCCTATGATTCGTACTTGGCCGTACTTTTTCGACTGGAAATAAATAGCGATATAAAAGGGCTCATTAGAATCAATGCTGCAATTTGCTAGGCAAATTTACGAGTAAATTGTAAAATCGTAGCTTACGAATAATGACGGGACCGATTGAATGACTCGTTAATATCAATACATGTCGATTCCCAATTTCCTGTAATCTCGTCATTTTGAACCTTGCGTTCTTCACTGTCGCGAAAGTATATTTTCCCGTCATGAAATACTTTGTTGCGTTAGAACCCCCCTAAGTGATTTTATCGTTCAAGCAAAGTGTAACTAAAGGCTTTCGAGTGTGCCGAATATTTTTGAGTCTGATTTGCAAAATGTTGCCTCAGAAGAAAATATGGCTGTCGGAAAAATGAAAATTAAAAAAATGTTCGAATATCTTCCTCATAAGATACTTTGTTATCGATATTAAAGTTTTGTAATGAATTTATGACTGAAACAAGATATATTTAGGGGCTTTTGGATGTGCTGAACATGATTTTAAAATGACAACAATGATTTTAAAATCGTATTTGTAAAATGTTGCTTCAGATAAACGATATTGTTACCGGAAAAATGAGAATTTGTCGAATTTTAGGAAACTCTTGTCATGAGATATTTTGTTGTATTAAAGTTTCACAATAAATTAATGACTGAAATAACATATATTAAAATGGTTATTAGGTGTACTGAATATGATTTTGAAGTCGTATTTACTTCTGAAAAAATATGTTGGTGAGAAAAATTAAAATAGAAAAATAATTAAATTGAACAGAAGCTAAAAATTCCTATAACCAATTTAATAATTAAAGAGTTTGACATTATATTCTCAATATAGTTTTTATAGGTAATGAAATATTTTATATAAATAATTTTATATAAGCCATATTTACATTTTTCTTATCCGATAAAAAATATTATGCATGCGCGCGCGTATATGTACACGTGTGCGTGTGTATGCTAAAATTATGCATATATATATGATGTTTATATATATTTTATATTATATTATATGTTATATATTTTCTAAAAATTGCACATTTGTACTATTTTCCACTATACTATTACCAATTCATGTACAGATATACATACAACATACACACACACACATATTCTTGCAACTTTATATATATATATGTTTATATTACTTAAGTGTAATATTTAGATGGTTTAAAAACTTCTACACTTATTGCAAACCAACATCAAATTTCAATTAAAATTTGCTAAATTAATCGCCATTTCGGATACATAGTAAAAGATTTTTTTAATTTGACTTGAAATTCGTCATCACCATCGCCGAAAATCCCGTTGTACAAACTTTCATTGATTCTCGCCAACTTTTTATTTTTGATATTTTAGCTCTGAATGGTGCGACAATGAAGGTGTTTACATTATTGAATACGTTTCACTTTTACCCTTCTCCACGCATCTACCTTCAATCATAAATGTGTATACGTACGTCATTACCATTAATGGTCTCACATCGCAACATCATTATATCGTCGGCGAACTGCAACGTCGAAATTCGCGCGAAGCTACTGTATCGTCGGCAAACCGCAAAGTGTTAATGAGGGGAGGGGGGCTCGGACGATTCCGAACGCACAGGGGCAACGAAATACGACGGGAGAGCCGCTGGTTTATTTATTATCGCGAAATCACATTCTCCCGTGTCTTTCTTCTTCGTTACCGCGCCGGACGCGGCCGCAGGGGGAAATTAAGCATTGCGAGGAGAGCGGGAGAAAAATTCAATATCGCGCGGTAATCATTAAAAGCGTTGCTTCGAAAGGGATCAATTCAATATTCAGGTGTGTGTGCACATTCGTCGCCGGTGAATATCGACGCGCGCGAATCATGCACTTGGTGCATTACAGGTGTCATAACGCGTATACAACCGCTTTGCCGGCGCACAGGCTTTGCTTGCGGGCGAAACCCGGCGCGTGTGTTATAAAATAAATCCTACGGCGCCGTTGACGGCGAAAAGTTTTGCCGTCGGGCGATGGTGCAAAACGCCGTGAAGGGGGTAAGGAAGGGGTTATCGAGGCTATATTGCAAAGGGTAAACTTCGCAGTTTTTGCACGACGCTCGTAAATCCTACGCGAGGGGGGGCTCCATTAAGTCACGGCTTATTAAGCTGTAAACGAAAAATTAGTCCCGGCACGGAATGCTTAATTAATGACCACGTCAAACTCACGGCGAAGTCTCCGAAATTATGGCGCCGAAGTGTCCTATAAAGCGTCTGGTATAACTTTATATTCAATACGGCCCGCCCGACGGTGGCCGCCGCGACGCAAAAAATCGATGAGCGAACCTCGCTCGCTCCTGATGCGGTTTAAGGAGTTTGCGCTTTCGCGGGACTGCCGGCCACTTGGACGACGCTCGCGATCCGCAGACGCTGACCGTTAATTTGTTGAAATAGAAAACAATTGACGGTCGAGCGGAATGCACAAAATAACGCCGGAATTACGGAGAATTAATTGATCTCTTTTGTCTTGATTTTCGCCCCGGACTTCGTCGCGGTGGTGTCTAAGCGTCTATATTTGCGGACGAAACTTCGTATATGAATTTTATTATATAAAAATGGAACGTGATAAAATATATATTAGTTGAAAAACCAACGTCAAAGAATTATTATTATTTATCCATGATTGAAGTGGAATTTTGTCATCAAGAAATGATTAATTACGAATAACAAGAAAGTTGAATTTCTCATCATTTTATCTACTCCTGCAAATATCAATGTATATATTGATATATAAATGCATAAATTAGAGGTTACGAAAATGACGGTAACTTAATAATATTTCTGCATCGTTTTACAATTTTAACATTTATATCTTTGTTCTTAACGTCTATATAAATGTAATTTCATGCACTGAAATATCTAAAAATCATCTGGAAAACAATAAATATATAGCCGATAAATGTAGGACACATTTTCACGCGAAAGTCAGCGTCAATAATATGTTTAATCATGAGATATCGCTAGTCCATGTGGTTAGTATTACAATTTCTCATTACGCAACTCTTTAATATTATGCAAATATATTCAATTATCTTTTAGATACATTGCGAAAAATTAAGATTTTGTCCGCCTTGACGCCACTAGTGGCTTCGTTTATCAACGTTACACGATACGGCGCTCCGCCTTTCGAATAGTAATCTCGAGGTGGGTAATAAATTATTTCAGAGTATATCGGACAGCTGCCTTTGAGAAATGGTTCGCGAGGAAATTTGTTTCGGCGTCGGGAATGAGTGAATAAGTGAACGAGCACGCTCCGGCCGACGTGATCTCGACTGGTGATACTCGCGCGTCACACGTCGATCGTTATCCGGTCCGGCGGGTATGATAGTAGTTTCTACCTAAATTCGATGAAACCGTGATGCAGTATCAAGGCCATGAAATCGCCCTGAAGATCATCCCGTTCTCCCGCTAACAGCAGCACGCCGTCCCACGCTTCGGGCCGAAATTCCAGCTCTAATTGGACGTGTTTGTAAGCAGCCCTTAAGGCAGGAAAAGCCAGCCAGCCGGACCCAGTGAAACGTGGCGATCTCACTTCAGCCTCTGAAACAACAAAACATTTATGGTGAACGTTTTCTTGCGAATACAACTGCTGTCGGGATTCGACTCTGTCGGCGGGTTCTCGCGGCGGCGTGTCGCCGATTCGTCTCGGGATTATCAAGTTTATCAGAGCGCTGTACCCGCGTCGTGACGCGGGACTGGTAGCTCGCAAGGACGTGGCGAAAGTTCAGCGCGAAACTTTCGCGATAACCGCGGACCAGAGATTCGCTTTTGCAAATACCTCTTGATGAGGTCTTAATAAACGATGAAATTAAGTATTGGAAATGTAAAGGCTTCTTTAATCAATAACTGAAACATTCACTCGTTATGTGCAAAATGGTAAAGGACTTTTTCCAAAGGATGCAGAAAGACTAGCAAAATGGTAGGGGCCGTTCGTCGTTTCTTTTCGACGAGCACGTCCCCTTCAAAGAAAACCGTAGGAAAGGTGGGAGGGCATCGGCCGGAGAAATATGGCGAAATGATTCCGTGGCGCACGCGTCCGTTGCAATTTGCGGCCGGGACGTGGCGACGGTTAACATGCCGGCGCCGTTTCGGCCACTTCCGAGGAATACATCGACCGGCGCGGAGAGAGAGAGAAAGAGAGAGAGAGAGGGAGAAAGCGGAAAATCGGGAATTCCGCTCGCACGCGAGGCTTATGGAACGCGTCCCTTTACCTCCACGATCTACAACCTCGTATCAATCACGCGAGTGTACCGCAGGGTGTACCGGAGGAAGAGCCCCGAGAGCACGTGGAACACGTGAGCGTAAGGGTGACGATAAATCAGGCCCGACCAGAAGAACGGAAAAAGTTGCGCCCGTGGGGCCTGGAAATGGAATTCCAGTTCTTGATAGCGCCAGGATTCCTCGCCAGCCTCGCTATCGTGTAACAAAACCGCGCGTCGGTCGGTCGGTTAGCCGGCGGAATCGTACGCGCAATTACAAACGACTGATCGAAGAGGGAGTCGAGCAGGATTTATCGGACGGACGCGTTGTCGGCGCGCGAGGAAATACCTCCTAGCTCCGGTTTGTTTATTATGCCATAAGTCCGGCCATCGTTATCCAATTTTAATCGAGATATCAGCCGCCGTCGTACGAGGCGCATTTCGTTGTTCGCTGTTTATTTATCGCGGAACATCGGCGGGAATGTTTCGCGCAATTTGCGCGGTTTTCCTTTTAATTAATGGCACGTTTAAAGTCCCGCCCGTTGTAGCGCTAATCGCGACGAAAACCACGCTACGCGCGACCGATTCGATCTTGATTAGGTTAATATTATATGAATAGCGCGGTTGAAGAGCGATTATCAGCGAACGATTATCGCGCGCGCGCGTGGTGTACCGGACGCGAAGTGGCCGATTAAACGTGAAATTGCGATTTAAGGAGCGCGATATTATGTTACCGCGCGTGTAACGATACGAAAGGGCCGGCCGATCGGATTTGTTTGTTCGGTCGTTCCGGACGAAACGTTGAATCGTTTAAAACCGCTCGTTATACCTCGAACGCCGAGAGAATCGCGAGAGAAAAGGCGAGATATTTTTTTTCCCTTTTTTTTTTTGGACCGATGCCGACATTACGGAGAGAAATTACGCGCTATTTTCTCGTATTATAAAAACATATATATAAATATATCAGCGATGCGGCGCATCGCGCGTGTAATCGTGTTTATCTCGTTATATTCGACTTTTTGCGCGGCTTACGAAAAACCCGCGAGAGACGTATCTCTTGCTCGTTTCTCGTCGTTATTATTATTATTATTATTATCGTTACGATGATTTCGTTGCTCGCGTACTGCTGACGATTTATGCGCCTTGCCGCAAAATGCATATAGCGGAACGTCGTCGCGACTGAGCTGCTAATATTCTATAAGTTGCTATATCTGCAACTGGATAAGTAAGTTGCAGCCAGGCCATATATTCTCCCCTCCCCCTCCCTCTTTCCCTCTGCGCTCGCAGTGGAACAAGTACGTCGCAGGCGAACCGTAGATCTAACTCTTCCGCGGTAGAATAAGTAAATTATAGCCGGACCATAGATTTCCGGCTCTCTCGCTCCGCACAGTGGAACAAGTACATTCTAATCGAACCAATACAATCCGCCCGCCCGATTACACGCCCGGTTACGACATTGTAACCCGACAATGGGCGCGCCCGAAATTAAACCTGTCGTAACCGTATAGAATTGCGTAAACACGCGCTCCTCCTTCCGTGCTTTCTCTCCTTTCTCCTTCTCTCCTGCGATTTTATTTCAGATCGAATAAAAAGTAACGACTCTCTCGCGCGGAAAAGGAGGAAGAGGCGGGGGTGGAAGGAGGGAAAGAACAAGAACTCGACGAGAACTGTTATACGCGCTCGTATTGTATATTCGCGATTGCGGCACCACGAAGAGAGTTGCGCGTGATGGTATTTTTCCCATCGAGACAAATAAAGCTGCCTTTACGTAGAAGCGTCTAAAGGTTGCATGCGTGGTGTAGCGAATCGATGTTGAAACGCTGGATCGGTCAGTCGACGACAGTACATGCGAACTGCAAGATGTCTGTCAATAGTTTGAATTATAAGTGATTAATGGAATGATATTTAATGAAGAACTTCAAAGACGAGGAAAAATCGAATTAATATGTAAATATACTCGGTTAAGTTATAACACGCGGTAAAAAATCTTGTGTCCAAATGTTAAAATTATCTCCTGTTACTAACGTTATTATTTCAATGTAAATTTAATATATAGCTGATATATTTTCGCGACGTTTTCATGCGTTAAATTTAGGTCAATTTAATAACTTAATATTTTTGTGTATTATTAAAAAATATAATATTTCGTGTATTGTTTAAAAATACATTATTTCGAGTTCTGTTAATTGCTTAGTTAATTTAACACATTGCGTGTTTATTATCTCAATATTTTGCGTTAAATTGATATTCAATGTGCAACGTGCCGAAAGAAAAATATAGTTATTTTCGGCAACAACAATATCCTCTTCTCACTCTAACCGCAAAAATGGTCGAGAGAAATATTTTCCTAGTAAATGTTACTACGATGTCAGTGATAATAACCTTACGGAAATGTTGCTATTACTATTTTTGTAGTTAAAATAAAACAAAAGATACCGTTCCCAAAAATAACTATATTTTTCTCTCGATGTATAAATGTTAGGGTAACACATTTTTTGTTACTTCTGAACTGATTGATAAAAGTGTTAATATCGCTGAATATAATTGGTGACATTTTATACGTTAAAATTTACAGACAAGTTGTAATAATATCGAAATATAATTTTTTTATCCCAACCAAACTCGACCGTTACTTTTCAAATTGTTAGCGGCGGAAGAAAGTAGAATCTATCTTGTTTAGAATCCTGCGCAACGGTTTTCCATGCAGATATTCGCAGGAGCTCGACGCTACCGTGTAATCTACTGCAGCAATCTCGATGCTTCTAACAACGATTAACATCGAGAGACGAAGAACCGAGGAAGGAGAACATAATCGGCGTGTTCAGATTAAATAAAATTGCGCGGAGTCGATTGCACGACGGTACGTCCGTACGGGGCTGCGCGCTGTCAAATCCGATATCGACTCTCTCCCTCTCTTTTTTTTGTTCATTTCTTTCGGTCAGTCGCGATTCATTGCCCCGGGAAAATGTTATTCTCTTTTTCTTCGGCGCAACGGAATCGTCGATTTTGTCGATGCCGCGCGATGTAGCGCGGTTGCAACGCGGTGGCGGAAAACAAATGCGACAGGACCCGCAGGGTCCTGTTCTCCGCCGGTGTGTAATTTCAAGAGTGAACCTCGCGTTAATAAAATTTCGACCCGAATTTTTGTCACGACACTGGGCAACGTTGGAAAAATGGAGGGGCGCGGTAAATAATGGTCTGCCGCGACACTCTACCGCTAAAAATAAATAGTCCCCGGGTTGGTTCTCGGTCATCCTACGTGCACGGTCGTGCTGCAGGGAGAGTTCTCAAATAGTGTCACGCCTAAATAAGCTCACAAANTTTCCCCCCCCCCCCCCCCTTTCCCCTCTGCTTTGGATTTCCCGTTTCTCTTCCCTGTCTAATTTATCCGATATTATTAACCAGTTTGGCTGCATTTCCAGCGAGCATTTTTTTTACAGCACCTATGCGAGCGGGACCGCCGAGCGAATCGGCGTTTACAAACAATGCCGAGGGGCAAAGGGAGAAGCCGACTGATTAAAATCCAACATCTCGAAGTTATCGCGTCTGATGTTCGCATCGTGCTCCACTTAACGCGAGAAACGAATTTGCGGAACGCGAGAAACAACGAGGAAACGAACGAACGAACGAACGAACGTTCCTCCGAGAGAACCTGCTCCCGGCCGCGGTCTAGCGAGGCGTGTAAACTATCGGAACCGATCGGATCGCAGAGTCTCCCTCCCGTCCACCTGCTTGCTCCCTCCTCCCCCCCCCCCTCTCCCCCTGCCGACGTTNCCCCCCCCCCTCTCCCACTGCCGACGTTTAGAAAAGAGCGGCGATAGCGCGCGCACTCTCGTTCCCCGCGGCGACTTGATTGATCGTTTTCGCCATTCGAGGCGTGCCTTTATGCAAATTAAGCGGATCAAAAGGCTCTCGTAGTTTCCACCTGAGCTTTGCAAAGTGGACGTAACCGCAAGGATGGCGGCCTTTCCGCCGGCGCGCAATGTCCTACAACACGAATACTAATAAGGGCTCATTTTTTCCGCGTCGTTCGAACGATCGGCATTAGGCGAGCGCGCGCACCGCGTGCATCGCCGTTAAAAGCCATGAATCATACTTTGACGTCAACGTGTGACCCCGTGACCCCGACAGGAATGCGTCATTTTCGCATTAACGCAGCGGTTAACGCATCTCGCCTAAGCCTTCCGTTGGAACTCCTTTATTTAGGGAGTAGAGAAAAAAGCAAGGTGGAGGCGGAATAGAAAGTGAAAGAGACAATGGAAGATAAAGGTTGCGGATATCAGCCGCGTTATCATAGTACCGAGATACGTTCTCTATTAGAAAATCTGAAATATTAACTGT